GTTGTAGCTTGTCATCTTTCCTTGACTTTCGTTCTGTGGATTTCCAAAAAAGGAAATTTTTAAGAAATCTGTTGTGTGCGGGAAAGAGTTTTTTTTTTTTGATAATTTGATAAAAAATTCCATTGACTGAAAATATAATTCAATATCAAAAAAAAAAGAAAAAATCCTCAAAAAATTAGAACAAGAATATTTAAAGACAAAATAGAAGAAGATTTATATTGATAAATAGAATTTTATAATAATATTATTGAGCAGAGATATTGAATAGATAATAAAAAATTAAAAAAGAATAGATAAGTATTTGAATATAAATATTTTAGACTAGTACAAAGATAATTGAGACTGTTTTACCTGTTGAAATAACAAGTATAACAGTAAATAAAGTATTTTAGACATTTATATAATATTCAAAATGCTAGAACAAAATTGTTAATAGCAAAAAGAGATTGAGAACATATAGCAAGAAAAAAATAAAAGATATTTAAATATATTTATAGGTTTTTAAAGTTATTTAAAAGTTATGCCTATGGATAATTATATTAAAGAAGTAGTAAACTGGTTGCTGTTATTAGACTTAAAGAAAGAAATATTGATGCAATTTACTATTAAAAATATAATAACTCTAGAAGAGATGCTTGAAGCAGCAGTAATAAAGAAAAGAAGATATACAAAATAGGAAGCTTAAAAGTTTGCATTTAAAAATTAAGAAAAGAAGTACAAAAATTGGAGATAGAGATGACCAGATCTGTTATTCTTATAAAGATACTAATTAAAATAAAAGAATGAGACTGTAGAAAAAAAACTATAATGTCAGGAAAATAATCCAAAACAAAATTACAGAGATAAGAAATAATTATCAAAGCAAGATTCAGAAAAATGACATGGCTATAAAACTAATTAAAGGAATCCAAATATATTTGTAAAAAGACTTTATAATGAGAATATTAGGACACTAAATGAAAAAAAGAAAGTAAAAGTACCTGAAGATAGCAGAAGGAATATTAAAATTATAAAAGCTAAGAGTAAATTAAAAAATAATAAGAAGTCTATAATCTCAAATAAAATTATAGGATATTACAAAGAACAAAAATAGAAAATGATTACTTTGTAAAAAAGAAAAAAGAATTGAAATTTGATTACTGGAATACTAAGAATTAAGTAGTGATAATACCAATTAGTACTATTATAATCAAATGTAAAGGATCCAGTTAGAAGAAATCAGATATATGCAAAGTAAGATTAGGATTTCATAATAATGAGAATATATATACTGAACAAAATTCTTATGAGATTAAATCAAGTCATTATAATGATAAAGATAACCTTACTAATGGTGTTAAAAATGATAATAATTGTAATACTGCAGAAATTATTACAAATTATTGTGATCAGGAAGGAGGATACTATACTGCGTGAAAGGAATCTGTTAATGATAAATCTCATTTTGAAAATGATTACAAGAGAAGTATACAGTACGTGAATTTTTAAAAAAGTTTTATACAAAGATCATATTAAATTATGATCAACTTGCATTGTGAGAAGATTGGATGGAGAAAGAGAAAACAAATACCCATATGATTAAAAAAGTTAAAATTGGATGTTATTAGCTATATATCATCATTGACAGCAAGGCCTACTGTGGGTTAATCAGGTAGACTATCCTATAAAACAAAAAGAAGGAGAAAAGGAACAAAATTTTGCATAGAAAACAAATGACAACAAGAACTTTATCTTATCAACATTTTAATTGAGACTTGATAATCTAGAAAATCAAGCATAAATAGAGAAAAAAAAATCCATCAACTCAGTGACTTATCGACAACTAGTATATCTCGCCAAATATTATTGTATAGGACAATTTTTTAAACATTTTGATGTTTAATTTGATAATGCATGTGGCATGTTCATTATTAGGAGGGGATAATCTGTTAAAGGAAAATAAGAGGTAATACATCACATGGTTCTATAGGTATCACGATAAAAATAGAATGGAATAATTGGAATAATGAAAATATGTATAAATATATCCAACATTCTTAATAATAAAGGCAGAAATTGTGTACTCATTTATTAAATAAACTTTACCTGTGTGATAAAACCCAGTATTATATTTTCGCTTTACCTTTGATCACATGATTTATGGATGAAGTTGATCAGCCTCTTTCGTCTACAAGACAAGAAGAAAGAAGTGTTAGTAATGACACAAACGATAGCTAAATAGTGCAAAGTGGGCTTACTTAACCAGACCTGTGTGCGAGTGACTGACTCGCAGATTCTCACCATTACAATATAATAAAACAGTGATGTAAAAAAAAAGCAATACTTTTTATTGATTAATATATGATTTTTTATTTTGTCTAAAGCTATGGAGATATTTCGAACAGTTGAAGATAATCCCCCTGAAACACTTCAAACCCTCATTACATATGAAGAAAAGCCTGGTCAAGCGCAACTTTCTTGGTATACCTCACTGGTGCTTGAATAGCATAATTACAACGCATGTAACAATGCTTTGACGTTTATTTTTTTAATCTATTTGTAGACCGCATGGGTAAGAACCTCAGGTGGCTTCTTTCTATGCCAAAATATCTCAGAAGTCTTGCCTTCAAGAAATATCGCTGATCTCGAATTCGAATACGACGAAGAGGCTGGACTTAACATCATATTTTTCTACAACGCACTCGACATGAAAACGAGTGGGTAACGGTGCACCACCAAAAAATAATCGAGTATGGACAGGAATATAATGATGATCAATTGGACCACGTTCTCGAAACTTTGCCTGGTGTCATCCAACTTCCGGTTGATCAGACATGTTTGCCACGTAGTCCACCGGCGAAAATGATGATTGGTCAGCGTGCTAATAATGTGGGAGACTACAAGGTTTGAATATGTGGATTTGAAGAATTTTTATAAATTTAGTACTTAGAGTAAAAGATATATTTTTTTCTAGAGTTAATTTAATTTTTTCAATAAGAATTCGCGTCAGAAGACCTGGAGAAAGTAATATAGTCGCTCAGCTTACGTACGATTTTTTATAACACCATAAATAACAACAAAAAGTCTACGTGCGTGATTGATACTGGTGCACCAAATACGATCTTGCCATATCATGTTAAAAGGATACTTGAGAGTAGGGAGTGGAGTACGATACCAAGAATAGCTGGGGGCTACGGGGCACCTGCGCAACAAATTCGTGTGTCTAAGATATTTGAGGTGTCTATTGGAGATTATAATAATTGGACCAAGCCAGAATTCTACTCTGGTAAGAAAAACCAGGCAATCAAGTGGAATATGCCCTTGTCGGTAATGATGTTACGGGTCAACTGGCTTACGCACACGAGCCAAGGAAGGAATCCATTAAAGCTCTTAAACATTGCAGATTAGACAGGCTCACCACGTTTTTGAATGGATGCAGTTGATCCTGCTTCTCAATCATTTACTGTATACCGTTTAATTAGCCGGTCCCTTACTAAAAACAAAGAATTATGCTTTGTTGTTATAAACAGTTGAATCTTGATTGTGTAATACGTGTTGCTGATACTTCTTTCAGCAAAAAGACTAAGAAGTCAGCTAAAAAATAAGACCGACAACTTCTAGTCAGACGTTTCCGAAATCGACAAAGATTTAGTTAATTTTCGTGAATTGTATTGTGTGATAGCTCAAGTATTCATTTATTGTGTCACAAAACACTGCCACGGTTTTATACTACGTTCCTTTGTAATATTCGTGCTTTTATTAACCAAACGATGCCCACCAGCTGGAGTGCTTATTTTGATGAAACAAATCCTGAAGATTGCCATTTTCTGGTGTAACGGGCCAAACGGCGAGTCTGTCGCTAATGCCAACAGAGATTCGTGGAACCGTTACTGATAGTTTATGATAGAAAAATGGTGATTTGAGGTGCACGATTTGGCCGAATTCTTCTCACTGTTCGCACACCTTTTATTAAAGACATTTTTCTCACTTATTTATACATTTCACTACATAATTTAAACACACCAGTCATAGAATGATATGATTACATAATGATTACATAAAAGATCTATAAGGTCATTGTCGTCGCTCACAGTCATTATATTGACTTGGTCGTGGCAGGATCAGATCTCGCGCTTATCTAGCGTAGATTGATCACGTGATAACGTAGTATCATCGTTCGTTACGTGGCATGTACGATCCCTTATACTCTCTTTTTATTTTATTGTGCTAAATATATCTTCTATGACTATATTATCGTGATATTACTATAATTATACAATTATTTTATTTTTATATCCTTCTATTTTACCCCTTACACTGGATTTCTATGAGTACCGTTCGAAGCAAGTTGACTTTCTCTTTTATGAAAGAGGCATACAAGTTGCAGATGGATCTTGATCTTATCGCGAAAGATGACTCAAAGGAAATGAAAAAATATTATTAAGGTATTTGTTTGATTTTCATATTATTGTTCATTGCATAGCTGGTCAGCAGAGGGGCCTCTCATAGCTACGAAGACAATGGAATGTTATCTATCTTATGGATGGAATGTCTGCTATGAGAAATGGAACTCTTTACAACTACAGTGAAACAATGGAATGTTGTAAACCTTATGGATGGAATGTTCGTTGTACTTAGTATAATAATTCTGTGTGGACTAGTCAGGTTATACTTTTATCTTATCAACATTATTTATTATAATTTTTGAGGGCCATCACAATGTCGATGTTTTTTGGAAAAGAATTGAACTGAATATTGAGCTTGAATTTGACTCGCGTGCAAGTCCAATGTGATAAAATGTAGAGGTAGTTTTTCTTGTATATTTTATAAAGTTGGGATTTATATCAACGGTATTTCAATTTATTGATTACAGGTTGAGGGTACTAGCTCGTTGATAAGCACCTCCGCAGAGACCCTTAAAACTGCAATTGGAAATATTAATCATACCGTTGGAAATATTAACAATACGTTGGTATGAAATATTGTTGGCGATTAAATATTTTTTTACTATGCTAATGATATTCACAGAAATTATCAGGAAATCTGATCGATAACTCAACGCCTGGATCAGTAATTGGACGCAAGCGAACTTGTGAAAATGAAGAACTACCATCAACTCCGAATAAGTTTAGCATTTAATTAAATTTATGAACAAGAATATCGTTTAATTTTCTGACTTCCTTTAAAATTTCTAGATTAGAATGGGACCAAATTTACCCCCAAATATATTCTCAAGGTAAAAAATACTGATGATGATATTTTAGAGCCTAGTCATACAGTTGAAATATGGATTTTCTAACCGTGAATACATTATAGTTCTACGACTGAGACTGGTGAAAAATCACCTGACGAGTCTAATTTGAAAGAGAGAAATATGAAAAAAAATGGCGAAGAGATCACAGATGTATTTTGACATTACTGTCCTTTATGCATAGTAGCTACATACAGTACATCCGAAAATGCCTTTCTAACTTGTTTTTTTTATGACCTCTTTAGGAAGAACATACAAGAATGTATAATCTTAGAGAACGAAAAGAAATTAATTATGCCGAAAATTCCGCTTCAGATATTTCGGATCCATATCATGTAATTATTCTTACTTTTCCCGCTATAGAAAATCATACATTCTCATTATTTTCGAAATTCATCAAGTATCAAGCATACGAACGTGAATGGATGTTCCGTCCCACAAATTGGACAAACTGGAATGCAAATCCTCTAATTATTACCATACAGGTCAATTATAACGAAAGCAACATATGATCAGATTTCAACGCATATAATTTGCGCCTTCAACACAACAATACATCTTGTTAAGGAAACAACAGGAAGTACTTTATATGAAAAAATTGAAAAACTTTTCAAGATGAGAAACAAATTAATTTTAAAGAGGCCAATAACCGAAAAACCTTACGCAATATTCAAGTATCTATCACCCAAGCTTCTGGTTCGGGATATGTCCGAAAGATCTTATATTGTTGAATGTCTTTCACCCATACTCTGAGCCTTCAGGAATGCATTCTCCGACGTGAAGTACGAGTGGATCGAAAAAGATGTTAAAACATTAAAGGACGCGAGCGATATGTTCTCGATTAACGTGAAGGGCCCGTAAAACCGATCTGCTGGTTCTGAGATTATCGGGTGCCACGAAAATTTTACATGTTGAGGTGTCCGGGTCACCTTACAGACCCGAAAAGAAACATACAGTCGGAGATGCCAAATAATTACTTATTATGGACGTTTGCAACTTGTGTAGGATACTGGCGAACAATTTCGATTGCCCAATCGATGATGCAAAGAAAGTCAAATCTTATAGTATTCAAGCAATTGGGGACCGATCCACTTTATTTCCTGTATCACTTGTTGAAAAAAAAAGTATTTGGCCCTAGAATTACGTAGCTTCATATATAATTCCCTTTTCTTTTGAAGCCATCACGTGTTATTCAAAATTTTTTGATTTTTTTGCGGTTATAAGAAATGAATTCATTGAACAAAAAAATATTCAGAAAAAAATTCGTTCTTTTATTTCTTCAGTTGAAGATAATACTGTTGATTTACGAGAATGAATAAATTTACCTGATGAAGATTTAACACCCGTAACAGAAGATGATATGGATGAACTCCTTTTACATGATGTTCGATAAAATTAACTAGATAGAGAACACGTAACTTAATAAAATAGCTTTCTTAACATGTAAAAACTTATTTTCATAACCGATGTATATGATAATAAATAACATTTGAATAATTCGCATTTGTATAAAAGTTATTGTTAAAACGTGTGGTCCGAACTAGATCTATTGAAACAAGAGAACGCTAGGCTTTTGGCTAGGATCGCGAAATTGGAGCAGATCGCAAAAGAAAAAAATGAGCTTGAAGTTAGAATTGTGAAATTAGAACAGACTACAAAGTTAAGCCAGGCAGAAAATGCCGACTCAAGAATGAAATGGCAAGATTAAAACAAGCTGTTAAGAATATTGAAAAGCAAAATCAAATAGTTACTAATGATTTAAAATCTCCGGAATATTCCACTTCATTATCTAACAAAAGTTGCTCAAATAGTGAAAATGCGCAGATTAAAGATTCTTAAACTTACCACGAATTAGATCAATCCATGACTAGTACTGACTTAGTAACTTCAGACACTTCAAAACAGATAGTAAACAGTACATCTAACCTTGATAAATTTGCTCCGGAGAATCTAAAACACTAGAAGATAAAAAAATTGATGTCCATTTAGATTCGGAAAATAAGAAAAGAGTTAGTAATGAGATAAGGCAGAGGAACATGGAAAAAAAGCTATTAAATAGTGATGAAGCTTCCGCTTCTCAGGATCATGACCTATCTTTAGTTAATCAGGATGCTTCAAATGGATCTGGAGACAATAAACTTATCCTTTGAAATACTTGAATCAGACAATCAAATTGTAGAAGGTTTAATACAAGAGATGACTTATTATCAAGGAGAAAATATTGTTTCTTCGGAAATCAATTCTTTATATTCAAATAATAATGAGGTAAATGTTACTGAAATCACTAAACCTTGTATACAGGATATAACTCAGGATTCTGCGCAATGTTTATCAGACTTATTTGATAAAGCAATTAAATCAGATCAAAAAATTTTTTAAATTGGTATTATTATTCTTTGGAATTCAATAATAAGATTAAAATCCTTATAGCTGATGGTAAGATCAAGGGTAAAACGGCAAGATCAAAAATATATAAGGAAATTAAGCCTTTTCTACCTAATATTACTGATGTAAACTTGCGTAAGAGCTCAAAAAATTCTTAAGCTATTTGGGGAAGGAGGAGTAGGTACAGATAAGATCAAACTCGTTACATATAATGCAAGTACTATTTCGGGATTAAAAAATACTCAAATTCAACATATTATAAATGAGGTGTCTTCAAAAATCATGACAAAATATCACGGTCAGATCAATGTAAAGGTAAGCGTTTCAGCTACATCCTCTATCCCCCCAACTCATATCTCTAATTCTTCAGGTTCAAAGGCTGAGGCAAGTATATCATCTACACCTCAGCTCAAAATCTTACCTGAAAAGCATATTAATCCAACCCATACCAGTACTGATTTCCGCAACAATACATTGGAACAATATCCTGATCTTTATTATGAATATAGGAGCAAAAAAAAAATGATTATTATGGAATTAATGCTAAATCACCATGTCCAATATGCAAGTTAAAACATGAGGATGAGGATGGTATTAGTGGAGAATATATTAAATGTGAAGCCGACATTATTAACCAATTTAACAAACTTCTCTAACCAATTCCTCATTATTAAGAAAGAAAAAAACATTAAGGAAATTGTTCAAAAAGGAACCACTGATGACATCTGTATTCTAACCTTCACAACTGAAATATATAAAAACAGAAACAAAAAAGATCAAAAAAACTACCCCAAACTCATATCCAACTCTTTAATCAAAGAAACATTTATCTTAGCTTTCAATTCATCAGTAACATGGTAAAAAAAATGAAAAAAACTCAACTCAATACAGAACTCTATAACCATCTCTAAGAATTTCTTTCTCTCTCCCAAGGAATTTCAAAAGAACTCCAATCAGCTTTCTTCTAAAAATGATTAACCATCTATTATCTCCCTTGTCTTCCAAAAAAGAAGCAACAATTGATTAAGCACAACAATATCTCATATATTCTGATTGTCTATTATATCAATCTTGCTCCAATCTAGCAACTTTTTCATCAATAAAATTACAATTGATATACTAATGAAATTATCTGACTTGGATCCTACTTCCAAACAAACTAACAAAACAACTGTTATTCCAATATTTCTTTTTGACAATTCTATGACCGTATCTAATCTCAATATGGAAATAAGTGAAATTCAATTTACAAACCAATCAAACTTCATAATAATCAATAATATTGTCAACTTGAATGAACTGACCAAAACTTCTTTTCAAAACAAAATCACTTTATATACTTGGTTCTCCTCTTTTGAGTAACAAGTTTATGAAGAACTTCAAGAAATCGGAAACAATAACAATATAAACCCTTTGACTTGATACTAAAAATTCGTTAACAACCTTTTTCCAGCTTTAAACAATATTCAAGTTATTATTCAAACTCTCAATACTTTCCAACTATTCATCTTATTACTTTAAAGCAATTATGAATAAAATTAGTTTCAAAGATCATATCTTTTTCAATTCATTTACTTAAAACAAAAACCTTATGCCAGCTTATTAAAAAAAGTTTAATGAAATCAAACAAAACTTTCAAAACAAATACAAAAGTGAAACAAACTTTATTTTATCAACTTCCAAATCAAAAAAAAAATTAAATTCATAATTTGTATAATTCTATCTATTATTTACTTATGTATTATTAATATTAAAAATACCTCTTATTATAAACTAGTGTAACAAGGAGAAATGGGACGCTACTGTAGTCACGGGATCAATAGTCATGATAATGGTAAGTTGGCTGTGATAATTAGGTAATAAAGGAAGGACGGGAAGGATTGTGAAAAGAATTATATAATTTAGCTTTAGCCATGTTGCTGTATCATTATGTCTAAGCCGCCATAGCCAAATGTAAAGTATAAATAACATGTAAAATATAGAGAAGTGAGAGGAGACACGCAAGTGAAGTAGTGGATATAGAAGTGAGAAATTAATAAAAACTCAGTCAAATACAAACACGCCTAAAATCACCCATTCATTTAATTACCCCAGTAATGGTTACACAAATCTCTGCTAGAGTTAGCGACTGACTTGCCGTTACACTGTTACACTAGTAAGTCTTTTAACTTATTTAATTAACTATTTCATCAAAAATCTTTCTTCACTTTCAAATACACTTCCATTAAGAATGAACTCAAAAAATTTCTAAATAACTTTCTTTCTAATTTACTTACTGAACCAACAGAGATCTCTCCACAAATTAAAGTCAAACTTTTTACCAAACTTTCAATGTCAGATAAAACCTATATTATTTTCACTCTTTGCATTCTTGACTTCTATTATAAATTTGATAAATTATCTGATACATATTTTAAGAAAAATCTATTTTTCCCCAAGAACCCTAATAATCTTCTAATCAAATATAAAAATATCTTTCCTATCAAAAAGAGAAGTGAACTTATCAACCTTTCAAACTATAAAAACCATCTCTATAAAGAATACAATGTTCCCTTCAAACTATCAAACTCTTATTTCAACCTTTTATCTTCTAAAAAATCCCTTCCAACAACTTATCAATTATTAGACTTCAAGTACAAACATCTCTTTTCTTACAATCCAAAGATAATACTATTACTTTATAAGAAATTGTCCCACTACTTAAAAAAACCTACTTCTTTAAATTTTTTTCTAATAATTATTTCTTTATTAAAACCAAACTTCTCTTTTCACCTGAAAAAGCCAATATTTAAACAATATTCTTTTATCAGTAACAAATTCAAATAATATTTCTCTTCTTCTCAAAACATTTGCAAAAATATATATTTTTACTAACCCTCTTCCCAAGGAATAGATCAATCTTTTCTCAATCCAGACCTAACCTAACACTCCAAACAATAATGAATAAGCTTCAACAAACAAACCACATATCTCAAACAACTACTAGAAAGTAAATGAAAAAGCAGAAACCAACTTTCTCATTACCAAAAAATTTAATCTATATTTCAATGTCATCAAAGCTTACCAATTCTATCAGTTCTCAAAAATTCCAAATAACAGGATACAAATTCTTATCAAACCTTCTCTTCCCAATTCTTTAGAATTAAAAAATTTTCTCAAAGAAAATCATACTCAAATAGAAATTCCTATTATCAATAATAACAATTTCACCTTTAAAATTCCCAAACTAAGAGAATACTTTAGTTTTCAAAGATTATCTAATGACTTTATTCTACAAATCAAACTTCTTGAACTCTTAACAAAATTCTTTAAATTTTTTCAATGATTAATACAAACTTAAATACAAACCTTTTGCAAAATATAATTGAATACTCATTTAATGATCAATCTATTTCTTCTTCATCCTTACTAACAAACTCCTCTCATCTATCAAATTCTTCAACTCATTTCTCTTCACCTACTTATCATTAAACAACTTTTCTATTAAAAAAAACTTTACTCTATTATTAATTTCACCTTCTCCATCACAATTCTATCAATATCTCAACATTGGTTTCTTAAATATAAGAGACATCTATGATGAAACCA